AAAGAGAAGCAAATAGAAATATATACAGACAGTAATGCCACAATAAGAAATATTGGCAGAAGCCTAGAACAAGCAGATAGAAACAAGATTATTAAGAAGAAGAACGCAATATGGATAATAAAGATTAAAGACCTTGTTAAGACAAAAAACATTCAGATAGAGTTAGTTAAAGTCAAAGGGCATAGTAAAGATAAATGGAATGATAGAGCTGATAGTTTAGCAAAAAAAGGAATGATGAGTAGAAAAATAGTACAGGCTGAAAGAGTTAGTTGTAAAGAGATAGAGTACTGCCTAGAGTAGGAAAACAGAAGAACTGACATACCAGCAAGACTGCTTTGCAAGTTAGTAATAAATACAAGAATAGAAGCAGAGTAAAAAGAAACAAAAGCAATTAAAAGCTTGGAGCCAGAAGCAGAAATCACAATTTACAATTAGACTTATTTCTGAAAAAGACTAAAGACGACCAAGGAAATATACTGCACAACAAGAAGAAGCAGCTCTAGAAGAAGTGCATTTATTAAGTGCATAATAGATAAACTTCCGATATTAGAAGAACTTAACAGAAGAAGGCCAGATATATACACAACAGTAGAATGCCAAGTATGTCAAGATAAAGTAAAAGAGACACAAACACACTTGGCAGTATGCAAAGGGCAAAAAAATACCTGAAAAAGAATCCAAAAAGTAACCATTGCAACAGCATGAAAGAAGTTAAAGAAAGAAGAAAAAATCTAGATTCTTCTACATGTGTTGTATATAGCACTCTTCAGAAAAACAGAAACAGAAGAAGTTAAAATAAGAGAAGCATTAATAAAAGACTTAATTCCAAGAGAAACACAAGACAAACTAGCAAAGCTATTAAACACAAAATCAAGATAGCAGTTTGCAAATACAATAGCAATAACAGCTTAGGACACATTTTACGAACAAGTATGGAGAATACGTTGTAAAAAAATTATCAAATAGGAGAAAAAGAGTGGAATAACAGGTAGAATTAAAAGAAAAAAAAGTGAAAATTTAAAGAAACCAAGAAAATGAGAAAAGACAAATCAGAAAAAAAAGAAGAGAAAAAAGAAGAATTAAGAAAAAAAGAGAAGCAAGTTGAGAAGAAAGTAATGAAAACAATGTTGGGGCTTGTCATAAAAGAGAGAAGACCTTTTCATTATAAACTTTAAGTAGTCAGACGAGCAGCTTACTTCTGTTTAAAGTAATGTGACAGGTTGCACTTAGGTACTATTAAGATAGTCAGGTGATGCTAAACTTAGATATTAGAGATATTTATATAGTTACAAATGTAATTCCAAAAACCTAATAAAGTACTAGCATGACTGCTTATATATTAAAAAAAAAAAAAAAAAAAAGTATTTCAGTTTATAAATATAATTATTTCAATATTATTAACAGAATTACTAATTTGTTCTAAAGATAAACTTACTAATAAACTGTTTAACTTTTAAAAATTTTTCTAAACCAATTAATTTTTCATTTATTTTACTTATAAAATTATTAAAAATTTATGATTATTAGTTTACTTATACTATATAAGATTCTTTGCTATGTTTTTTTTATTAAAAATAAATTTATTATGATTTTTTAATAGTTAATTTATGTATAAGTTGTGGCTTAAGATTTGTTTTTTAAATATTATTGGATTTTTTTTCAGTTTCATGTTCTTTTTCTTTATCAGATTCCTTTTTCTTTTCTTTATTTTTAGTTATGACTGGTTCAAGATATAAGAACACTTAGGATCTGTGCAGGTAAGTATATGATGATTGGCATGTCTAAAGGTTTCATTGTGTCTTTCATGAAGACTAGTTGGTTTTTTAAACTCGATTGTAGTTGGTAGAAGTTTTTTAAGATGGGTAATGAAATATTGTTTAAATTCATACTTAAGATAGTTTTGAACTTTGGCTTTGTTAATAGTATTAGAGAATTGGTGACTATATATAAAAAACATTTTTTCGAACCATTTATTGAAATAGTCAAGTAAATTTTTTAAGGATGGTATGTTATATTTTTGAAGAAATAGTGTTTTGGGAAGGTTGAAATTAAGTTTGATATTGAATTGATTGTCCATTTTAATAAAGAGAAATTGGTGTTATTTATCAACTTCAGTAATCTCAAATGTAATGTTAAATCTTTTAGGTCTGAGTTTAATATCTTCTGTGAATTTGGTATAGTTAATTGCTTGATAATTATTAAAAAGATATAGGTGAAGTTGGGCAAGATTAATGCAAAATTGTAAATGATTGTGGGTTTGAATAGGTGGAATGATGGCAAGTGAGGCAAATATTTTAGGATAATTAAGTTTAGTAAAGAAAACTGTTATAAATGTAAGAATAAGTTTTTTGAGTATTGTTTTAAGAATACTAAATGGTATTGTAGCAGCTTTGTAATTGTTAGCATTGTATTGTTGAATTAAGTCAGTAAGAAATTAAGGTCTAGCATCAGCTATTTGTCTAATGAATATGTAAAAGCTTGCTTTAAGTGCATCTCGATTTCTGACTACTTCTTTAATGACTTTAGCAAAATAGAAGCTGTGAAGGTGTTCTTTTAGAAAATTGAAGAGTTTTTGTGATATTTCTGTTTGTAGTTATGTATAGTTTTGCATTTCCTCAGTAACTAGGAAGTTTGCTAAGAAGTCATATAATGGATTAAGTTTGGGTCTTGTTGCTTGGCTATAAGACTAAGCCAATTGAGATTGTTGAATTGGTTTTTTGTTAAGTTGTTGTTTGTTTAGTAGTGGTGGAACTTGATGTAAAGGTTGTTGTTGTTGTTGTTGTATTTGTTAAGTTTGTGATTCTTGTGATTTTGGTAATATAGTGGAGCTGTTGATATTCATATCATTGTTAGTAGTTGTTTCTTTGAAGTTAGATGGAGTTAGAGATAGGCAAAACAGTATTTTTTTATATAATGCATGCATGTATGCATATTATATGCAACATAATTAAAATCTAAATTGACCTCAAAGCATTAATAAAAAATGTCGAGACAATGCTTACTTTAATTTATCTAAACTAATCAGACAATTAAGTTATACGTATATCTGTATCTGGTCAGTATCCATATACTCAATCTTTTTTATTTTAAACTAGTTAACTGTGTAATAATTGTACTGTAGTTTTTGGTCCTAAGTCAAATATATTAATTACTAGTCAGTATGGTATATAGTAATGCTCACTGATTTAAATGATTAATTGCCAAGAAATTTTAGTTAATTCCAATTCTTAATTATTAATAATGAATTATTTAAGGCTTGTTGAATTTAGATAACTGAAATTTAAATTATGCATGTTTAATAAAAAATTCATTTTAGGTTAAATTTGTAAAATTGTATATATTCATTGAAATTCATTGATTTTATAGTAGACGTAAAGTCTTTATTGTACTGCATATCTTTATCAAACAATATAATAAATTTCGAAATTAATAAATGCTTAACATTTATCATTTTAACTAATTCTACTGGATTTACATCTAGAATATTTAATGTTTATCATCTTCAACTCCAATTTTGCCTTTGTTCACTTTTAGATTTTAATTCATTTAATGAATGTTAACACACATATATATATATATATATTTTTTTTTTTTTTTGATTCTAATTATTTTGTATTTGCTATTTTAGCTTTAACCCTTAATTCTACTAACAATTCTTATTTCAACCAATTAATAAATGCAAATTAATAAAATGTTTAGATATTAACTTCAATTCTATACCAAAATTTCCAGCTTGATATTAATGCCTTATATTCATTTGCTTAATCCTAATGCTAAGTGCATTAACATTTTCCATCTTAATGCCTTACGTTTACCTTTTAACTCCAATTTTGGCTAACAAATATTGTTGCATATTTTTTTGATCTCAGTGTTTCTACATTTTTATTTTAGTAAGCTTGATAATGAATACTTTGCATTTACCTTTTTAGCTCTAATTTTACAATGATAATGGATTAAATAATAATTATCTCATGTTCTGATCATATTTATTTAAGCTTTAATTTTATAACAAAAAAATTCTTACTAAGAATACTTTATGCCTTTTCTGTTTTTCTGTAGTATTTATTTATTCACTTTCACTATCTATATCCTTTTAGTTGCTGACTCTATTTCCAATTCAGATGACTTCACAATCTCATTTTTATTATCACTTTCTAATAATTCATCTTCACCACTATTGTTTTCATTACTATCAGGGTCTAATAATTCAAATTTGTCATTTTCATTATTAGGTCTATTATTATAATGTATTACTGCCTCTGTTATATCTGGAATTTCTAATTTCGGGCATGTAAGTTTATAATTGCTATATATATACACTAATTTTAAAACTCGTCATGGTGTTAACCGATTTCTTTTTTTATCATAAATATAGGAAAAGTTTGACCAATTTCACTCAGCAGTAGCTGATAAAATTGGAATATTAAGAATTCTAGATGCGACCTTACATAATTCAGGTGATGATTCCTTAAACTTTCCCTCCCACCATACAATCGGATCTACTTTGTCTACTGCTTTTTAGGCTAAATCCAGATTAAACACACTAGTTTGAGTTTTATATTAAAGTAATTGTTACCAAATAATGTTTGCTTCATTCGGGTAATATTTTTAAATAAATGTAGAAATAGTTGGCATGCCATTAGCTGGAAGTTTTCTTCTACAGTATTGTGGATTTAACAGATGTGCTATAGACATTATAGGTTGATATATTTTTTTCCACCTGTTCTCTAATAAAGTTTTAATCCTAGAACCTACTGCAGGAAAAATATAAACTAAAATAATATAAATAAACTTATTAATAAAATAAAACTATAAGTACTGTAGTGCACTAACTAAAGTACCTGGATACAATACAATTCACCCAAAAAAGAACTTACAAAAGACCCAAGTCTATTGTACCATTACAGGTCTGTATCGCAAGGAAGAAAAATTTCAAGCATATGCATATTCTGCATTTGCAATAAGCAGCTTAAAAATTTAAAAAAACTCATGTTTAATTAATAGAGATCTCATGTTTTGTGCAGGGTATTTTGCAGAAAGAGTACGCAAAAAGGGGAGTACTTTGGTCAGTGCACTACAGTATATATTTTAACAATATTTGCTTACTGTCCAATTCTAATTGTTCATAATATCAATTATAAAATAGTGCTAATTTTAGTATGTCAGATTTGAAAGTAGCTATGCCTGCAACTAATTTATCTAATACAATTAGTAATTTATTTTATTTTTTATTTTTTTTAGTATTAAGGTAAGGCCTTGCTCGTATCTTTATTGGTAGTTTAAAAATTAGTAGCTACATGGAGCTGCTATGTACAAA